CTTTTTATTTTTCCCTTAACTAAAACTGTACACTGTATTTGTCCCTTATGACTGCGTTTTGAACTTTCTCATGAAAGGTCAGCATGATTAGGCATTTCGTGAGCACACACAAAGCTACTGTCTCGAAACACTCGAGACAGCAGCTACAGAAGATGTGGAACATCTTTCAGGGCTAATATTGGTATATTTGTGTTTCATGTATACTTTTATTTATATAATTTTTTTTACATTTATTTTTAATTTTAAATCCAGTTCAGTTCCGGGAATGTGTATGAAGCCAACCAGCTGAACCTCCTCTGTGTGATGGAGCTGATGACCCACGCGGCGCAGCTCTTAAAGGAGGAACGTTGTCGGGTCTCTCACGCCCCTGTGCCCCAGCTCAACCCTCAGCACCTGCAGGAGATGTCTCGCCAGATGGCCCGTACGCTGCAGGACCTCCACCTCATCAGGTACCCATTAAGCTGTACTCGCTTGATAGTGCACACTTGTACATGAGCTGATTTACCCTTTGTTCTTCTTCCTCCTGCTGTTCCCTTTAGGGGTCGTCATAGGGGGTCATCTACCTCCGTGTCACCCTATCCCTAGCATCTTCTTCTGTCACACCAACACTCTGCATGTCCTCCTTCAGGACACCAATCTTCCATTTTTCTCCTTCCTGGCAGCTCCATATTCAACATCATTTACCTGATATTTCCACTATTCCTCCTGTTGCACCCGCATTATCTGTAAATCCAAATTTCTGGATGCTTGTCGTTTGGAAAATGCTGCGTTAATAGATTTGTGGTAATAACTGTTAACATTTTTTCTTTTAATAACTACAAATGTGTCCTTTAATCCCAACTCCCAGGCAGAAGATTTCTAAGGAAGAAATCCCTGAAGTCAGGAGTGCCATTCAGGATTTGGAGGCAGAGTGGGACAAGAAGTGGATGGACACTCTGAAAGAAACACCCCTAGTCTCTTTTCTGAATGAAGATCCTGTGAGTGGTTGCTTTATTTTTTATTTTATTTTATTTTTTATATATACTTGCATCACACCACACAGGCACTTATTTTAAATTAAGTTATTGTACTGTAAAAAATGACACGAAGACATTCTATTGTTAATGTTGCTTGGAGCTTATGTGCCCGCCCACTTCCTCCTCAGGCTCTTGGCTTCCTCTCACCAATGGCTCCACTGTCTTTTGAGCCGGCGGCTGAAGCGAGTTATAAAAGCAGTGTGTTCTCCCAGTACCCTGCTAAACTTCTTGGTGAGCGGAATCGGATTATAATAAAGTTTTTATGAAGGTGTAAAGTTTAAATGTTGTTTTTAATTAGCATTTATTTGTTTTTCCCCCCTCAGAGGAGAAGCATTTGGAGAGAGGATCACAGAATGACGTCAAGATTAATTTTTCCAACCTTAAAAGGTAATATTATCAGGGATATTTGAACTTCATGACAGCATTATTCCTTTTGCTTTCTGCTGGGAGGCAGATACCTGGGCAGTCCTGAGCAGTGCTCTGCCTGTCACTAGTCCTCCCTAGAACATCCCTGCTCTCTGATGACCGCGGCGAATTGAGAGAAATCGCCACGGACAGATACGGAGCAGACACTTTATTTCTCTAGAAATATGATGATAGAACATAGCATGATGTGAATGAGCTTAACCTTGAGCATGTAGTGAAGTACCTACCTATTGATTACTTTTATATTAAAAGATGTGATGCGCAAATGTGTTTGGAATAACTAAGCACTTTCTTATCTAAACAGCACTTTCCCGGTGACAGTCGAGAGGCCTGAAAGTCCTGTTGTCAAGACTGAAATGACACGAGCGAATACCTCTCTGGACTGGCTTTTTGACACGCCCCCATCTCCTCCTCCTCAAAGAGCTGCATTACGATCATCACCTCAGGCAAGTGTCATAATTCACATTTTCTCTGTTTTAAAAGTTAGTTTTTACTGAATTCTGTTCTTGAAACAATAGTACACTTGTTCCACTAATGTTTAAATAAATGAATAAATAAAATCAATGTTTGTGCATCAGGTGAGTGTGAGGAAGATGACCCATACTGATTGGAAGGTGACTCCCTTGAGGACAAAGACTCAGATATTAAACATGGAATATGACAACCTTGCTGATCAGGTATTTTAAATATTCTCAACTAAACTACTGAAATCTGTAGTAAATGCTGTATAACTGAGAATTTCATGAGGGTTCATACATCTAAAAAGGAGCATAGCGATTGTTGAAAACAAGATTTTCTGATTCATTGTTGACATTTGTGTGCACGTGTTGTTAGTTTGCAGATGCTGTAACTACAGCCGCTCCTTCAGAGGGCAGGGTTAAAGGTTTGGAGCTGGAGGCTCTTCTCAGCAGTCTTCAAAGAGATCCCTTCTCTGCTCGTAAGCAGCTGCCACGTACCCCTGAAAGCTTGAGTAAGTGATAAAATATAGGACCTGACATTCAAAAGCTTCTCTTAATGTGTTCCTTTACCTAATAAAATGGCTTTTCTCCTCCTCGCTATTTCTTCCCAAAGTTATGGATGTCAAAAGCTCCTGGCGTAAGGCAGTCGAGGAAGACAAAGTGAAAAAAAATCAGCCTCCTGCTGAGTTTAATGACAGCATAATAGAGCAACTCACCCCGGTCAGTGAGCACCACAATGGGTCGCCAAGCTCAGAGTTCCCAGGTTCCGACACGACCACCCAGACTGTCCCATCGGCTGTCAGGAGCCACAGCATCCCTCCGGTCTGCCAGCAGGGGGCCTTCCACAAGTCCATTCTTGCATGGGACACCTTCATCACAGAGGCCCACGACAGCCCAGGTGTCACAGGCGGCAGTGTGGTCCACTTCAGCCTCGACCAAGAAACTCTGCCAGAAATTCCAGGGTGTGACAGTCTGCTCAGCCTCGATGACGAAGAGATGAAAAGCGAAGACGACGACGAGCAACTGATTCCCTTACTGAAGCTCGAAGTGAAGCAGCCACCGTTAAACTGCCATCAGCATGAAGCAAGAAATGACGGCTTCTTGATGGAGGGCACGAGGACGCCCGAGTGCCTTCTGTCAGATTACACTGTTTCTGGTTTGGACAGAGACTGGTCGGAGGAGCCAGCATCATCAAAGGAAGCCACAGATAAGATTTTTTCACTCGATCTAGATGCACTGAAGACCCCTTCACCTCTAAAGAAGCAGGAGTACAGGCTTCCCGAGCTGATCACATTCTCCCCAATAGATGACATGAAGTGTTAGCTACAGTCCGAGTGTCCAGTCTTCAGCCTCCTAATTGTGTTTTGGGGGGTTTTTTTGTTTTGTTTTTTTTAAATAACAAATATGAGCATGTATATATTTTTTTGTTTGTGTGTTTTGTTTGTTGTGTCTGTAAATCGAGATTTTTGACTGGAGTGTATTATGCCTCCCAGCAATTTACACTGCACCACTGGCTCAGTTTTTAACATGATGGAAATAAAGAATTCTCTCGAAGTGTTACTTCTCCAATAATCACTCGAAGAATTCCTTGTTTTAGTGATGTTTAAGTTTTCCTGTTAACTGTGGTGCATGGAAGGTATAAAATGAATTGATATGAAGCTACTAGTGTTTTGTTTTTCTTCGTTTTTGTTTTGTCTTTTTTTTTTTTTTAATAGCTGTGACTTGCAGCAATTTAAGATAGGGGGCGTCAAACATGGCCCCAAATTAAATGTGAAGCAAAGCACTGGTAAAACCAAGAAAAGGGAAGTCGGAGTGTTACTCCTTCATAATAAAAAGTTCAGCTTACGGGCACAAACATTTGACTTGAGTGGTGCTGTGTAAAACACATGAAATCCTGAATGAAACGAATTTGCCTTCATTTCCCACTAAGTTTTTTCTCCCCGTCTATAAAGTGGGGAAGTCTATGTAGAAATATGGGCATTTAGTCCCCTCCCATCCAGATATGCTGTTTGCAGTGTGAAGCTTAAGACTGGTAACTGGATCGAAATTACTAGAGGAATGAAACTTTTTCTCTTTCCCCCAGATGGATTTGTTTAATTTAATGAAATGAAAACCATTTAGAGACAAACTATAATCTGGGACTTAAAAATTTCTTTTAAAAGATATAGGTGGGTCATTACTCAAAGACTTGTTTTGCACCAAAGGGACAAGTGAGGTGAAACCATACAAACACCTAGATCCTCCCATTTGTATATATTGATTTACACATTAGTGTTGCATGACAATATATTTCGGCTGCATTTGGAGTTTTATAGAAGTGAAGCTGGTTGAACTGTCTATAGCTGGGATTTCAGACTCACTTTATATTGTGGGCCTACTTTGATCTTAAGTGGATCTTAAACTGCCCTTTCAGTCAGTGTAAAGACATTTACCTAAACATTTGATCCCTGAGATGTCATAATAATCATAAAGAAGTCCAGTAACAGTACATCTCAGTTTCTTTACATGTTAAATGCGTAAAATTTAGTCATGTATTTATAAAAACAATGTTTTTGTTAATTTACAGATTTAACAAACGGGTTGTTTTTAATGTGGACCTATCATAATAAAAAACAGAAATTTCTGTTGTAGCTAGTAGAAAAACGGGAGCTTTTCTGTTATTCAATTGTTGATCTATTACATAACTACGTTAATGCGATATCAGTGGCAAATAAGGTGGAGTCTTTATCGATAAGAAAAGCTGCAAAACCCACGACAATGCAGCTAGCAGTTCAAAATCTATCACATTTTCCAAAGTCTTCCAGGGAGCCGATTAGAGTCTTTGCCCTCCACCTTATGTCCCCCCCAAAAATACACAAAATAAACACATATAAAAAACACACACATGCAGCGTGAATTGCATCAAAAAGTTGAAAGTTAAAAAAAAAAAAAATTTACATATGCAATACATATACGAGATTTAGGCTGCATAAAATTGAATCTTCATACAGTGTTTTTTATTCACTGATCCATCCATTATAACCTTTACGCTGTTACGGGTTTGCCGTTAAAGTGTCTTTTACTTTGAAAGGATTCACCAGAAGAGGCTCCTTGTTCGCGAGCGCGCTTGCTCGCGCTGTCAGTTGCAGCGGTGGTTTGTTGCATTTCCTTTTCTCTGGGCGGTTCCAGTCTGAAAGAGCGAGAGCGAGAGAGAGAGAGAGGGGTTCAGAGGAAAGCTCTCTAACTCTATCAGCCCAGACACAAACATGGCGCCTGCCTCCGCCGACAACTTCAGATGAAAGTGTGGCGAAGAAGTAACTAGCAAAGTACAAAGGAGTATTTCCGAGTGGCGTTTTCACCCTTCTTTTTAACTTGCCGTCCTGGTTTGACCAGTTTTTTTTGTTTTTGTTTTGCACAAATAAGTCTGCGGGGTACTTCGAGGAGGTAAAACAAGCAAGTTGCCTACATGTCAACATTGTCTCTCACTGCGGTGTAAACAGCTGGTAAGTACTCGTGTTTTGTTCCGTGGAGATAACCGTTAGGGATCGCAGCATATTGTGGAGATGAGAGGGAGTGGATGAAGTGCATTAGGCTAACTTTCGCTGTGTGTAAGTGCGCTCAGCCGCTGTAAATGCATTTTCCTGGTGTTGCGCTGCTGCACTTTCAGCGTGTTATCCAACCATGGAAAGAGAGAGAGAGCCACGTATGAGCGCTCGGGGTGATCATGGGAGGAAATTTCTTTTGTTATACCCACGACGAGGTGTATTTCCTGCATCAAAGTTGACCTACTTAGGGTTGGGATGCAACAGTTGGGAACATAACACCCCTCTCCTCCGCCGCCTCCTCTTGCTGCTCCTGCTCGCCTCTCCTGCCCGAGCCCTCCCTGTCGCCAGATAATCAGACTCAGCTCTCCTGGAGTCTGTCTACCCTTGCAGGTGTCTGCTCCCAGAAACAAACCCAACTTCCTGCGTGGGATCAAAATGTGTGTTGGGGTTTAAAGCTCAATTTTAGCAGGACCTTCTTGTCATGCAGTCAGCGTGTAGAGGATCAACTGGTCTGACTTATTTGTGAGTTTGCTTTTCATCCATTTCCTAGCCGTGTATGATGTGGCACTATGCAGCGCCAAGGTGCTCACATATCTATGCCTCAGCACTTGACTGCTTGCCAGTCAGCAGCAGTCTAACCCCTGAGGTTAGCAGAGTGCTCCCTCTGCTCCGTGCTCCCATCACAGCTGTGGTGAATCATGACTGGCATGTGATATTTCTGCTCTGATGGTACAAGTTCCAGCAGAGCTAAGCCTGGCACTTCCTCTTCTGTTGTGCTCAAAGTATTCATAATTTCAATTAGGTGTTTTACCAACTGAGCTGGCTGCAGGAATGCTGTGTAATGACAGGATAATCGAGGCACGCGGAGTGTGAAAAACATGGAAATTGCTCTGGCAGAATCCACTGAGCCGTTGCCACGTGGAAACAAAGTAAAAAAAAAAAAACCTCTTCCTTGACCTTGGCTTGCCCTGACAGGCGCTGGGAAAGAGGAGTGGAGCAAACGTTTCCTCCCACTATAACCTCTACAATGCTGCAGGTATAAAGTGGGTCATGGCTGCGCAGTGGCTTTGTGTACATTGAACTTGCACTTTGTGGCCTTCCAAAGGCTCTGTCAGGTGACTGGGAGGAAGGAGGTGGATTGGCTCAAAGGAGCAGCAGCAACAGGCAGTATTTATTCAGTGGGAGAGTGATATGTTGAGATACGTTAGAGCCTACCTGTGTGATCTGCTTCATTCTTTCATTCACAGTTGTGCTCACTCTACCTCACCCGGCAAATAGCACGGTGGAGCTACCTTTTTTCCCCCCTTCAGCCTCCACTTGAGTTGACACTTTCAGGTTGATTTATCACCCACACTTTCACTGTCAGTTTTCTCAGAGTTTGAAGAGCTTATTGGAAAATTATTAATAATTTTCCAGGAGTCCCAACATCAACTGACACTTTCATGTCAATGAATGATTCGTTCTATAAATTAAAGTTCAACTTGTTTGAGTCACATTGTTTTGACAGTGTTAACCACCCCTGCTTGCTTTAACTCCTTCCATCAAATTGTACCACCCAGCATGGCATGCTCACTTTTTGAAGACAGACTAACGACTTAGAACTCTAGTTGTTGTTTTTTTGTTTTTTTTAAATAAACTCAGTTAGCTAACATTTTCTTTTTAGTTTTCCTGTTATAGCAATACATAAATATGAAAAACAAAAAGTAGGCAGAATACACTAACATTTCCTGTTAAGTAGTGGGAATCACCAGACCCCCACAATACATTATTACATTTCACTCATGATCTGATGATAGCTTGATTTTTAACATTTTGTGATAAGCTAAAAACACGTAATACAATTTTTCACCTTTTATTTCAACTGTAAGTTATGTCCTCAAAGTTGTTGTTGTTGTTTTTCCAATCTGTTTTATCTAAGCAGATAAAGTTATCTCACTTCAGTGATTCTTTTTTGTTGCAAAATGAGATTGTCAAGCACACCAACACTGTCACTAAAACCTACTATAAATGCTGTCATAAGACATAATCTGCCTGCAGTCAAATGGGATCAAGCTGGCAGTTATGTACTATGTTAAGTGTCCAGTTTTCAGTTTAGCCAACTTATTATAAGTGCACATGGCTAATGTTACGTCAGTA